TTCGTAAGGACGACGTACATGTGTGGTGGTGCATTGTTCCTTTAATGCATCTCACGAAACCAATTCTGTAGTAACATTTCTCGAGCGGTAAAGTGAAGCATTTTACAACCACAATAATGTACATCAATTTCTTGCTAGGCAGATTTCATCTGGCCCAAAAATATCTGGCACATCGGCCAGCGGCAAATTTGATATGTATGTGATGACACACATGATAGTTATAGTAACTAAAATAGCCACTTAGTGAAGCTGGCTTCTGGGGCTGAATTTTCAAAATATCCATCATGTGAATTATTCGTTTTGTGTAAAATATCCACTGAAAAGCAAAATGGCATATTTCCTGTCTCTTTGGGCATTGCTCTTTGAGACTTTTTTTGTGTCTATTCATAACAGACATGTCTACCGAATTTCATGAAAATAACTTCCTGGGCTACATTTTCAAAACCTTCCTGGTGGGGCTCCCAAGTCAAAAATGATATGAGGGCTTCCCTACCAACTTGGATGTGTGCAGACTGGCCGTATCGACATGTCCTACCCGACGGTGTGCGGCCATACGGGGCCCGTGCTAGACATCGAGTTTTGCCCCCACAACGACAACATTATTGCAAGCGGCTCTGAGGACTGCAGCGTCATGGTGAGTCCCGTGGTGGTGGTCAACGTCTGCCCGTGACAACAGATCTCATTTGAGCTTTCCGTTGTCTTTCTGGACAGATTTGGGAGATCCCGGACTCTGGGCTGATTTCGCCACTAACAGAGCCGGTGGTGAAGCTGGAGGGTCACTCCAAGCGCGTGGGCATCCTCAGCTGGCACCCCACCGCCCACAACGTACTCATGAGTGCAGGTGAGCACAAGCACGGATATACTGGACAAGTCCTACACTTGATCAAGAGTTGAAAAGCTGCAAATCCACCACACAGGCCTCGACTTGCTGTCTTTTATTAAAAAGATAAAAATGAAATTTAGATTATCGACTGTACTTTACAGTCATGATCCATTACAATGGTCAAGAGCTCACGGGCACCCAGTTGCCGGTTGCTAATGTAGATGATAAAGAGAAGTTGGCCCAAGACAGAACCTTGGGGGAGACCACAACAAACGAGGCACGAATGTGATTTGATGTCTCAGAAAAAAAAATTCATCTGTTGCTAAACCTAACTCTGAGTCATAAATATGACTCTATTCCATATTAGTATTATTATTATTGTTATTATTATTTTTATTATTATTAATGAATGGATAAATTGTTATTTTTTAAAACCTGATGTGCTAAAGAATAAACAAGGGCAGATTCAGAAATCAATGGAATCAATTCAGGTAGAAAATTTTACTTGCATCGCTGATTAAAAAAAAATGTAGTAAAAAAAATTGTTGACAGGTGTTGTTATGTAAAAAAAAAGTCATAATATTAAATAAAGGAATCTAAAATGAAACACATTTAAGGGAATGCAATTAAATAAAATAAAGAAATTACATTTTCAAAGTGATGAAATAAAACCAACTAATATAAATACAATCAAACAAAATAAATAAAACAAGTAGAGCAAATATGATGAAACAAACATAATTAAAAAAAAAAAAGAAAATTAAAACGAATGAATGAATGAAATAAAAAAAATACTATTCAATCAAACAAACTAACACGAAAAACAAACCAAAACACTCAAATAAAATGACTTTAAAAAAATTAAACAAGCCGTAATCATAAAATGACTATCATTTCAAAATGCTACTACTGTACATACATAGATATTTTTTACCCAAGGTACAAACTGACCGTTTGGTAAATAAATAGGCAATATTACCTAGCTGAATGGAATACTTGCTGTTAACGCTGAACCACGACTCGCTTTTAAAAAAAAAAAGGTCACCTTCAAATTAATCACGGGCCATCTATTGAGCTAGCTAATAGACTCGACGTAATTCAAAAGAAAGCACAACAGCCCCCTCTGGTGGATACAGAGGGGCACTACCTTCCCTGCACCTAACGCCAAGCCTTCCTGTTGCTTGGTCAGCCTGCGACAACGTGGTGATCCTGTGGAACGTAGCCCGCGGCCAGGCAGCCGTCAGGATCGACGACTTGCACTCGGACCTGATCTACAGCGCCTGCTGGAACCGCGACGGCTCCAAGATTTTGACCTCCTGCAAGGACAAGATGCTGAGGGTGCTGGACCCTCGCAAGGGCACTGTCCTCGCTGTACGTTGGCTCACCCTCGCCGTTGCCGATGCGTCCACCTCCTCCAAGGTCCGACTGTTCCTTCTTCGTAGGAGAAGGAGAAACCTCACGAGGGTTCCAGGCCGGTCCGGGCTGTGTGGGTGTCGGACAGGATGATCCTCACCACCGGCTTCAGTCGGATGAGCGAGCGACAGGTGGCGCTGTGGGACCTGGTGAGTCCTGATGGGCCTCCTCTTAAAGGCATTTTTTTTTTTGGTTTAAAAAAATGAATTTTTCAATGCAGAAGATGTCAGATTGTGACATGTGAATGTTATATCAGAATGTGTTGTGTAATATTTGTCCTTTAAAACTGCCCTCTATTTCAACAAGTAAAAATGGTTGATGGTCCTGGCCCATCTGTCAATGTTTTTAATCATCAAGTTCTTGTCTCAGGAAGACTTTGGCTCACCGCTGACCCTGCAAGAACTGGACACCAGCAGCGGCGTCCTCCTGCCATTCTTCGATCCGGACACTGGCGTAGTCTACCTCTGCGGCAAGGTCACAATCTCTCCCTTTGCTGTTGGGCATGATTAGGAAGTTAATTTGTTCCATGCTCAGCCTTGTAAACAAACTTAATACATTTTCCCCATTCTATGTTCCAGCCCCACCAAAAAGCACATAAAAAAATCTTCACTGCCATTAATAAAGAAAAAATAGTACTGTAGCCTATTGCATAAAAGCAAAGAGAATATGACGACATCAATTGGTTATATAAAGTAATTACCGTCTCACAGTAGGATAATATTCGGGACAATAGTAAAAACCCACATGTAATTGATGACCCCAAAAAAAAAGATGCCACAAGGTGGTGATAAAGCATTGCTTTTCTAAAATGAACCTCCTCAACTGATTTCAACAGTTTCTTGACAGCAAAAAGCCACAAGAGGGCTTCAAAGCACTTTTTTTTCTCTTCTCAGTGAAAATCCTCATTTGATATCAATAGAAAAATGACACAAGATGACAGGAAAGTGCTACTTTAATACAATACAATGCAACGGTAACGTGTAAATGAAAATCCGCAACTTACTTCAACAAAGTTGCCTAGCACCACAGTACCACAAGATGTCGGCAAACTGCTACTTTTGTCTCCTCCATTAACCTAAACATAGTTCCTGGACACCAAGATGGCGGCAAAGTGCTATTTTCGTTTAAATGAAACTCCACAACTCACTTCATAGTAATTCCTTGCCATACATATGCTCCAAGATGGCAGCAAAGTTAGTTACTTGACACCAATATACCAGAGCATGGTGTCAAAATGTTTGTTTTGGCTAAATGAAACTCCTCAACTCATCTTAAAATACAGTAGATTCTGGGTAACACCATAGCGGCAAAGTGCTATTTTGTTCAAATGAACCTTCACAACTTACTTCAACATAGTTCCTTGGCACCCAAAAGCTATAAGATGGTGACAAAGTGCTACTTTTGCGTAAATGAAAGACCTCAACTAACTTCAACATTGTTCCTTGGCACCAAGATGCCACAAGATGGTGTCAAACTCATACTTAATACAACTAATTAATGCTTTGTCCTGGGCATGAAAGCAGTAAAAGATGATTTCTTTTGATGCTTGCTCAATATGAAAATATTGGCTTGAAAAATAAAGCAGGAAAAACTGCTCCCACTGCAGGGTGACAGCAGCATCCGTTACTTTGAAGTGACGGAGGAAGCGCCCTACGTGCACTACCTGTCCATGTACAGCAGCAAGGAGAGCCAGAAGGGCATGGGCTACATGACCAAGAGGGGCCTGGAGGTCAACAAGTGCGAGATTGCCAGGTAGCGTCTTGTTAGCATGTTAGCATCACACTCCAGGAAGTCTTCTCCCACACGTCAAGGTTGCTCTTTGTCACCGGCAGGTTCTACAAACTCCATGAGAGGAAGTGCGAGCCCATCGTCATGACAGTGCCTAGGAAGGTGACACAGTCATACACTCAATTTTATGACATGCTATCGATAGGCAATGTCGGTGGAGGGCAAGTGGACAAAATTGATATCGTGATGTGTCGTGTCATTGATAGCGGACCAAATATCGGTCGTATCACTGAGTGGGTCGACGTATCGATATCATGATGTTTCGCCACAGTATTGATATGATTTTGTTCTTCCCGCACAGTCGGACCTCTTCCAGGAGGACCTGTATCCCGACACCATCGGTCCGGAACCTTCCGCAGAAGCCGACGACTGGTTTGGGGGCAAAGACGCGCCGCCCCTGCTCATCTCACTCAAAGATGGCTTTGTGACCACCACCAAGGCCAAAGAGTTCAAAGTTCATAAGAGTCTCCTCAAGACCACCGTGGCCTCAGCTGGCTCCACTCACGTCGATGGCGGCGCGGGGGTGAGAAGTCGGCGTCTATTTTCATGATTTAAATTAATTTAACTAAAATGTCCTAAAATGCTGTCATATTTGAGTCGTTTTGATTTTATTGACACTTATTTTCAGGATGTGTCGGCTCTGAGGCGGGAGTTGTCGGCTATGAAAGCGTCACTGGAGGAGCTCAGAAATCGTGTGAGCTCGCTGGAGAACAAACATTAAACCACCAGGATTCTTTTTGTTTTCTACACAAGAAATAATAAATAATAGAAAGACAACTAAAGAAACATAAAAAGAAACCCACTCCAGGCTCAAGTTTGTTGGTCCAATTTTATTTTAATATATACTACTTGAAATAAAATCAGTATTTTCCGACCATTCGTGTGTGTGTGTGTGTGTGTGTGTGTGTGTATGTGTGTGTATGTGTGTGTGCGCGCGCGCGTGTGTGTGTGTTAACCCCTCAAGCTTCACACAACATTTGCTTAAAAAAAATATTTAATCACTTGCACTTGTCATTGTACAAAACTCTTACTTTGAGGTCAAGTACTATTTGCATTAGATAAAATACTAACAGCATCATAGCAACAGATTACAGAAAGCATTGAGGAGGATTTTACATTTTGCCATTCAGTCGGCGAATGTTTTTAATGAGAATTGATTAACTGTTAACAAAAAACAAGCAAAGCCCTCAGGCAAATTGCATTTTACATTCTGCCATGGAGCCAGGTACTATTTGGAATGAGAATGAATCAAATGCTAAAATGCTAGCTGTTGGTACACTAACAGTGACAAAGATAAGGAGTATGGAAAATGCAACATGGATTTTCTGTTCATTTTGCCCTTTATCAGTTTACTTTTCATATAAAATTTAGAATTTTGAACATGCTAGCAGTTGGTCCGACGACATTTAGCCACTTAGCCTGTTAGCAATCCAAGTACAGAAAGTGCTAAGGCTGATTGCAAAGGATTTTACATCTTGCCTTATAGTTGGGTAATTTTTTTGACTGAATTGGTCGCTAACATGTAAGCAGTTGGTAAGCTAACATACAACGACATAGCAACCAACTACAGAGAGACGAGGTGGATTATTTCTTGCCCTGTAGACAGATACTATTTAGAATGGCTAATATGCTAAAAATGGCTAAGCTAACTAAAATGGCAAGACAGCAACCTGAGTACAAAAAGCGCTAGGGGCAATCGCTGATGAGAAGTAAGCAGATGTTAACATGCTAGCAGTTTTTTTACAGTTAATTTGATTGCAACAAAATCCAAATGTACATTTTGATCCCCTCACCACATAAAAAGAAACATTTTAATGTCACATGTTGACTATGTACAGAGGAGTAAAGCTAAAGCGGCTAATGGACCTCCGGCCGCAATCGGACTGATTCTTTCCGGCTCACACGTAGTTCTTGCTGGGTGCGGAGGCGCTGTTGCTGTAGTACTTGGCCGTGCCCCCAGACCCCCCCGATTTGGGCCTACTGAAGCAACACAGGAGCCCCCCGCCCAGGAGAAGCAGGACCCCGCCCGCCCAGCCCACGTAGATACACGCTCCCATCTCGCGCTTCTGCGTGGCGGGCACCAGGGGATTGTTAAAGTCCTGAACGATCTTGTGGGCTGACCAGCTGACGGGTATGATTAGAACAAGGCCGGCCAGGAGCAAGCCCACCCCGGCCACCAGGCTGATCTTGGGCTTGGCGTCTTCATTCTCCACGCAGGTGGTGAAGTCGGCCCCGCAGAACAGGATCAAGAGGCTGAGGCCGGCCAGCATGCAGCTGATGATGGTCATGGCACGGGCCGCCTGCAGGTCCGAGGCCAGGATCAGCAATGAGTCGTAGTTCTTGCACTGCTGCTGGCCTGTACTCTGCACAGCGCACGACTTCCACAGGCCCTCCTGGTGGCTCTGAACGTGCACAAAAATCAAACATAACTCTAAATTACAACACATAGCAAAATGTACTATATTCATTATTCCATTGCTCATTTTAGATCGTGGTACTTCCCACCTTCTTCAATAGGAGGCACTGTAGAATATACTGTCATCAATGCTCTCTTTGAATTCATTCTCTAGTTGCAAAGCAATTTTTCCGATTGTAATTCAAATCCAGTTTGCCGCTTTTTAACTTGAAAGTACAGTACTTCCTGCGCAGGTGTGAAGAAGAACGTACCTGGGCGGTGATGATGGCTGCGCCTGTGAAGGAAGAAACCTTCCAGCGCGGGACGGCGCAGCACACGATGGCCCCAATTAGGCCCAGGATCCCCAGGCCCACGCACACGATCTGAACGCCCATTGATCCCATTCTGACAAAAAGGAGATCAAAGCTTAGCACGCACAAGGTCCAAAAAACAGACAAACTCATTGCAGGGCCCAGAGGCGTGTTTGCTTTGGTATAGTTTAGCTTAGTTTGGCTTATCTTACCTTAGCTTAATTTAGCTTAGCTTAGTTTATTTCAGTTTATCTTATGTGAGCTTTGTTTTGTGGTGCTACATCTGTTTCGTACGAACATTTTAAATATGAAATGTTTATCGTCAACTTAACTGAACTCTTTTTGCAGTTAAAACCGTCCTTCAAATCCTTCTTGAGGATGATAATCAAACAAGTGAATCATCTCAACGCTTTTCGTGCAAGTGATCAGAATTTTAACTCACTGACTGACTGCCAGATATTTTAAAACATTTCACCTTATTTTTCAGGACCTAGAAAATATTACCTTCTGTCATCCTTTCAGAACCAAATCTACCAAAATGTTATGATCTTTTTTTTTAACCAGCAATAGAATCGGTTGGTCTCACCAAAACGTTTCTGATCAAAACAGCAGAGAAACAGTAACTTTGGAGCAAATATATATTTTTTCCTGCTTTTGTGAAGGCATAAATGATAAAACAACAAAAATAAGCTTGAGGAAAGGCTTTTGATGGCAAAATTATAAAGAGGGTTTATCTCTTGCTCTTGCTGGTTTTATCACCATGAAAAAGGTCGAAACTTGAAAGCTTTTTTTTTTTTTTTTTTTTAACCCCTCAAGCTTCCTGGGATTACTCGCTTCATTTTCCTCACAATGTGGCAACAAGCTGTTCATTGCTGCCCTCTTCCTGAATCTGGTCTGCACATGTGCAGTAAGAAGATGGAATCGTCCATTGCATAAGATGAGAGGCATGTTATTTTTTAAGCACGTGAATTAATAATTGTTTTAAATTGAAGAAAACTTTATCAATCCGTTTTTAGGAAACGTTTAGGGGCTCCTGTAAATCTCGAGCCGAAGCGTATGAAGCCATGTGTGCGAGAAGTTCATTTGAGTGTTTTCCATTCAAAAATGTCCCTTGGAACAAGATGGAATGTCAAGGGTGGTGCCACGCACATTGAGAAAGACAAGGTCTCACACACACACACACACACACACACACACACACACACACACACACACACACACACACACAAACAGAGTGTCGTGTAGCTTTGGGCTACGTTTTCAATTGAGCGCATGTCTCAACAGGCCCGCTGGCTGTTACTTCTCCACCCATTAGAAGCACAAAACCGCTCCCTAGCACCCAAAAGTCCAAAAAACTAAAGACGCATGAAACATTCCCGTTTTAAGACATATTTCTGATATGGTTGTTCCCCAAAACGTTTTTTTTTTTCAAAATTTAGGAATCATTATGGATAGGTGACAATAGAAGATGAAGGAAGCAAGTGACTCGTGCTGCTCTTCAATTTTGTTGCCTTCTATCCGTCTTCTTCTTCTTCTTATACTTTCGATTGAGATGAAGATGAAAAATCCTCATCAACAGAGCTCATCTCGCGCCATGAAGTTCACTGAAAAAAATTGGTGTGCTGAATTTACTCAACTTTATTTTGTCATGGGCACGGTGGGTGGTCAACCAGGTTTACGTGTCTGCCTCACAGTGCAGAGGTATGAGGTTCGATTCTCCGGCCTTTCTATGTGTAGTTTGAATGTTCTCCCCGTGCCTGTGTGGGTTTTCTCTGGGTACTCCAGTTTCCTCCCGCCAATGGAACACTGGAAATTGTCCCCAGGTGTGAGTATTGAGCGCGAATGGTTGTTTGTCTATGTGTGCCTTGCGATTGGCTGGCAACCAGTTCAGTACCCCGCCTATTGCTCGACGACAGGTGGGATAGGCTCCAGCATGCCCGTGACCCTCGTGAGAATAAGCAGATTAGAAAATGGAGGGGTGGATATTTCCTCGAAGTGGTTAAACACAATAGTGTCATCTGGATTCAGATCAATTTTTAAGTAGATGTACAGTATATTAAATTTTTTTTTAATCTAAATCCAGCTGATTTTATTTCATGCAAACGCTTGATGAAATAAAATTGAGTATTTCAACAGACCATTTTTTTCCTGTGTACTTTTTTTTGTTTCTAGCTTGCCTTGTTTTTAATTCATAATCTTGTTGAATTTAATTTTTTGTTGAGGTTGTTTTCATTTTGTTATTTTTTCACTATTTGGTTTTAAGTTTGTTTGTAAAAAATACATTTTCTAAAAAAAGTATATTATTAGTTATTGCAATTACCTTTTTGGTTTTAGTTTTTATTTCTCCCCAGGGTTTTTTTTTCATCTTCTATAAATTGGCTTTAATGTAATTTTTAAAAATTTATGTTGGAATCTTATTTATCCCTTTTTTTCTTTTACAGTAAACATGCAATCTTTATTTTTTTTTAATTTGGGGTTTTAATCTTTTTTTTTTAAGTTCATGTTATGTGATTATTTTTTTTACTTTTTATGAGCCGAGGGAAAGCGATTCATCTTGGACCAAAATGAGACCTGCCTGGGGTGCAAACATTTTTCTTAACAAAAAAAAAAAAAATTCATCACTCGATCTTCTTTGGATCTTTTCAGCATCCAAATTGATACAGTTTGTTAAAATAAATACTCTTGAAACATCCTTTTAAAATAACAACACTCATTATATGGGGAAAGAAATGGCCTTACCTTGGATGAAATGTGAGTTTAAAGATGTTTTTCTTCACTATTTCTTTGTCTTCTTGTTGTTTGGCGTCCTGCTGGGATTGTGTGGCGATACTGGGACAAGATGGAGTATTTGTACAAGAATGTGATGTGCAGGGTGGGGTCCTGCCGACTGCGAACCTGCAAACCAGACTGGACTTGTCCTCCCCTCTTCTTACTCACTTTTTGATGCCACGGAAAAAAAGAGAGAGAGAGAGAGAAGAAAAAAACGCCCTAGGCTCCTGACAAACTTGAATGTAAAAAAGAAAACGTCACACTTTTTCTCCTTCAATACGCTTTTGTGATGCCAACAAACCAGCAGAAAGTATTTGGGTCTCATGATGCTCATGATTCTGTTTGACTCTTTATGTTTTTGTGCAGACAAAGTTTACAAATACAACCTAGGCCACTGAACATGGTAAGCCATGACACACACACACACACACACACACACACACACACACACACACACATCGCCACCCACTTTAGAAACTGATGACAAACGAAAGGTTGTGATGTCACAGTTTCGTGGTGGTTGTGGGAAAGACGGTCTGTGTTGCTTGCTGGAAGAGTCGAGATTGTGAAATGGGATGCAACATTAGATACACCAGCTCATGAGATCCAAACAAGGGGTCAAAGAGAGTATTCATTCATGTGTTTGCATGGCATTGTTTCATTTTTTTTAATACAGACATTAAAACACCCCAAAAAATAAATAAATTGTACCGTAATTCAAAATAAAAATATAGGGAAATACGGTGGTTAAATGTATTACACGTACAAGTTAAATACAAAATTTTACCGAAATAAATGTTTGAAAATAAACAGTTGGAAAATATTTAATGCAGATGTATTACTGTACATTTCAAGAGTTAACTGAACTCAACAAATGTACTTTAAGCTATGCTTTGGGTACCAATTAATGTGAAGGTCTACCAGTTTGATACCCACTTTTGAAATATCAAATTATCTTTAGTAATGATATTTAATTATGACAAGACACTGATCATGTGAATGCTTTCTCACAATAATTAAGCCTACCTGTCAACTCATACGGTTTAGCCATATTTTATATGGATTTTGTGGTGAATCTTACGTACATGGCCACATCGCACAAATCATACGGATTCTGAAAATTTCCGTTTTTTTTTTTCTTTCCCCCTTACAGGTAGTTCCGTTTGCTTTTGCCCAGAATGGTGCTCGTCTACTCGAATGCTTTCATTTCCGGTAACGTTCCAGTAAATCACGTGGTTCCTAGTTGAAAACAGCAGAGTATTCATTCCATACTTCGGTAGTGTACAAGCTCAAGTTCTAATCTACAAGGTGAAAAAAGTAACGCAGGAATACAACTCTTCACACAGTAATGCCACTAAGTAGAATGATGATTAGACATTCACCTGCCATTGTATTATGGAGATCTACAATAAATATCATTAAAAATTTCGTGGGTTTTTTTCTGCCGTTATTTTGACATATAAAATGCTTTGGTATGTTCTAAGGATTTTTTGCTCTTTATAAGGATTTTTTTGGTAGTTTATATGGGTTGGCGCTCCGAAAGGTTGACAGGTATGATTAAGAAACATGCATATAATTATGCAACATTCTATAAAACTATGCCAGTGTTTACATTTTACTTGTTTTACTTCTACAACATTCCTGGACACAAGTTTCTTTCTTTGAATAGGATTACTGAAATCAACTTTTTCATGACATTCAAATTTTTTGACAAGCATCTGTACATGTCTGTGTGTGTGTGTGTGTGTGTGTGTGTGTGTGTGTGTGTGCGTGTATGTGTGTGTATGTGTGTGTGTGTGTGTGTGTGTGTTCTAAATATACAAATATGGGACATACATACACATCTAAAAAACTATGATGTGTGTATGACAAAGCATATGTAGTATGTCGTCATTGCAATAAGTGAACATTGCTGACGTGTCATTGATACAAGAAAAAGTCCTGACCTAATAACGTCACAATGTCTCTTTCCTTAAAACGCTTACGCCACCGTCACGACTAATTTTTCGCATCACTGAAGCGTCAGCAACGTCACAAGTGGCAACTTTGATGTCAAAGGCAAATTGGATGCTTGCACAATTTGGTTTCTACACGCAAGATGGCGCCCTTCGAATTTCGCATTGGAAACCACTATATTGACGCGATTGACGTCTTCAGGGGGCGGGGCGTGCTCCTTCAACCCAATCCACGATGCCGCCAATCATAGTGTAGCGTGTAAACGCCTCCGTCCAATCATGATTTAAGAATCAAGTGACGTCATTCAGTTTGATTCCGGCCCTCTTCGACGTAGGAGAACCGACCGGAGACACTCCGAGTCCGAACGGCGGCGAGCTTAACCCGGCCTGCTTTTAAAGTTCCCGGAGGACGAGGCACAAGGGAACCGAAGCCGCGGCCAAGCTCAGGAAATTTCTTCGTGTCATCGTATTTTTTTAAACTAACACGCCGGCAGAGCTGTTATTCTGATAAGGTACGAAAATGCGAGCTAACTTGTCACTGTCGCTTGTTTGGCTATGTGACCCGCTCGGCTAAAGTGCTAACAAGTTAGCATGAGCGCAGAGTGAATGGAATGAGGCTGTGAGTAATGTTCTTAGCTAATTTTAACGATATGTAATGTTATGCTTCGAGGTTTCGATTCCTGGATGATTGTGAAACTTCTAACTGATACTGTTTTTTTGTCGGTTTATTATTTTGTTCTGTAAATGAAATTGAAGGTGTGCCAAACGGGCGTCGTAAAGCTCGTGAGAGAATCATCAGAAAATGGCGGAGCCGGACAAATTAAACATCGACTCGATCATTCAGCGTCTTTTGGAAGGTGAGAGGACCAATAACGACAGCAATGTGTGTGTTTTATGCCAATAACGTGTGTGTTTATGCTGTGAGCGTGGAGACGTGTGCGAATCCGAGCCCATTGAATGGCAGAACACAAACACCACCACTGCACACTAATAAGCATTAGCACTAGATCAATGCTGCAATTATCCCCATTTGAGAAAGTTGCTTTAAATAGAGACATACTAGACAGATGTAAAGTCTTTTTTTAATTATTATTCACAGTCGACCACTTGATTGTGTAACGAAGAGACAAGGAAAACCCTGTGGACACTTAAGACAAGCGTAAATCTTATCAAGTGTTGAGTACACACACACACACACGCACACCCACACGCACACCCTTGTGTGCTCTGGTGGTAGCAATTTAACCAAAGCTTTAGGTAGCTTTTAGCAAATGTAACGGTCTTGACTTTAGTTATGAATTGTGGTTTTGTCTCTATTTTATACAGTATACAGTGATGCCCTGACTTAATAGTTCAGTGACCAGGTTTGTAACTTAAAACACTCGCTTACCAAATCGCCTTTACCTTCTGACATGAATAGAAATTGTCATAAGAAATTTCCAGCACTTCCAAAACAGACAACAGAAGGGTGAGTGCAATACTACAAATATATCAACATTTTAGAAATACACGATAAAATACAAGTAGTGCAGGGGTCGGCAACCTTTTTGAAACTGAGAGGTACGTACATCTTGGGTACCGATTAATGTCAACCTGAATTATAATAACGAATCCCAAAAGCACTAACAAAAAAGTGCTTTCATTCCGAAAAATGCCGTTCTTTAATAATTTGTTAAAAAACGTTCTGTAATAGCATAGTTGAATCGAAATTAAAGAAACCGTTTTTGGTTTCTTCTGGTGTCTTTCAGCCACCAGGAGGCTGTATCATACACAACCTTCCTTTAATTGTGTAATACGAAGAAAACCATGATTTAAAATGAGCTGTTAGGCATTTGTAACCGGTGCGTGGTAAGGAAAAAATGCTATAAAATTTGGATTAAAAAAAATGTTTTCATGGTGACAAATTGGCAAAAAAAAAAAAATGGACAGTTGTGTGGTCACTGGTCCTCTGTAGGTTAAATGAGTGAATGTTGGCTTTGTAGAGTTGATCTGAAGGAGGTGACTTGGATTATTCACACACAAAAAAAAACCAGCAAGCACAGCAGTCATACTAACTGCTGTTGACTTTGACTGCGGACCAGCTTGTGTGTCTGTGTGTGTGTGTGTGTGTGTGTGTGTGTGTGTGTGTGTGTGTGTGTGTGTGTGTGTGTAAACAAGGCAGATAGTGGCAGTATTTATATACTCTTATGCAACCCTGCTGACCTTCCGTGTGTCTTTTCTTTCTTTTTTTATTGCAGACCATAACAAGCAATGGCTTGTTGGTATTGTGTGGTCAAAGTATAACTAACTGCAGTCACACACAGACACTTATGTTTCAAAATGATACCTCAATGATTGATTGTGCTGTATAGTATGTCCACTTTCTCATGAGTGAGTGTCAACAACAAGCCAATTAAACGTGTTGGGATAACCACTAACTCAAGTCAATTGGATTTGTGGTATGCTCAAGTAACTCAACTCAAGACTTGCTGTGTGCATGCATGATACTTTGGACTATGTTTTTTGTTGTTGTTTTGGTGTGCGAATGTGTATTTGTGGTTTTTTGAGGGGGTGGTAAATGATTTTTATTTGTTTTTTTTTAATGTGAGGATGTGTGATTTGAAAAAATAGATATTTTTTTGCATTTGTGACTGATAGGGAGCACCGTGTGTGATTTTCATGTATGTGTTTGCTTTTTGTGAATCTGCCATGTGTACATGCTTCACTGCCATGTGTACAGTGAAGACTTTTTGTGTGACACCGATTGTACAGATGTCTGGCATTTTGTGTGTGCAAGAGAGACTGATTTTTTTTATGTGCAACCCGTGGTTGTGCGTATTTTTTTTTTTGTGTGTATGTGATTAAAAATTTTTTTTGTGGCATCCTGATTGTCAATCTGTCTGACCGTCATTGTAGTGAACATGTCATAGTGTGGTTTTTATATATTTTTTTCCTTTGTATCTGCGCCAGAGGGTGGTATAACCCCCCCCTGCCCCAAGGGTCTTTGTCACATCATTTGTCCTATTAGCGGCACTGTTAACTCCAAAGTTAGCTGTGTTGCGGCCCTGTGTTACAGCTAATCTGCCTTTAATCCTGCTTTAGGAGGCACTAGGAACAGCGCTGCTCATATTTAGGCTCGCGTTCACTATTTCAGGCCTCCATTTTAAGTAGCTGCTCTACTCTACTCCGACCTCCATTGACTCATTTGTACCATATCGGTGTGTCTACAGACCTTTGTTAGAATGTCACATAATATTTGGCTACCAGCAACATCCATGATTATCAAGGGAATCTTGTGATACATTTTAGTAGTCACTACTCAGAATACAGGAAGTAGAGTGGAAGAGTGTTCATCATAAAACAAAACAGCGGGTGTGCAGGACAAGTGTGGTATGGCTGTGGGAGGAGTGCAAAGTCACACGGTGCATCATGACAGCCCTTTGCTGTGCGTGTGCGTGACTGAGGCAATCATTCTTACAGACCTAAAAAAAAAAAAAGTCCAAAATTTGGATTAGATAGGTCCTTGAGATGTTACTTGAGTAATAAAAGAATTCTTACATTGCCTGAGCACAGAAGCTGCACATTTCAGCAGATAACTGAAGATGGTGTCCCTCAAAGAAGGTACAAATATGTGGGGGTTCACTGTACCATGTGATGTTACTGAATGTACCACATTGACATATTTTAAGCTCCCTGGCCTCTGAAATACATCATATTTGGACTAAATGTAATCAGTATTGCATTTAGAATTTCTTCTCTTTGGACCATATTTTTGAAATTATATTTAATGGACCGCACACCTGTAATGTGCCATATTGGCGCATGTTTACTATCGCCCAATGATGCATCACATTTAATGGTCTGTGCATATCTTGTGTACCATTTTTAGATCTTATTTAATTTTCTATTCTCGATGCGTGTGAATGTGTTACCTTGCTTGTTAGGATGACACACCTGTCAAACTGTGAGTTCAGCTCATGAGTGCGAGGAGTTCTTTTGTTCTGGCAGCGTTTTGTGTGTGGGAGGCGTTCTGGCCTTGTGCGCGTTCACGTGTCCCTCTTCATCTCGGTCTATATTTCGCCTTGCAGTCAAGGGCTCTCGACCCGGCAAGAACGTGCAGCTGACTGAGAGCGAGATCCGCGGGCTGTGCCTCAAATCTCGTGAGATCTTCCTGAGCCAGCCCATCCTTTTGGAGCTGGAGGCCCCCCTCAAAATCTGCGGTGAGCTCAAGACACAATCACACGCACGCACACGCAGAGAGACAGAGTTTTTTTCTGAGTTCAAATTGAGGTAGAGCTGTTTGCATTCGCACAGATCCGAATGCCTGGCTCAAGCTGTTCTGTCAAATTTTACCGTATGCATTTCAACCGTTTCTTTTATCCGAATGCGCCTGTCGACATCTTACCTTGAAAAATGCTCATTCATTATTACAAGAGGTGTTGGCTGTAGCTCTGTTTTAGATGCTTTTGTGAAAATCCACAAAAAATGTCTGATGCCTTTTCAAGAGTAACTGTTTCCCATGCCGTAAGTGCAGTTAAAAATAAACCAATTAGTGCAACAGTGCTCAGACAATAGCTTTTAATGATACAAAAACTATCAGACTCAAGTAACTCTTCAGAAGTTGACATCTGTGAAGCGCTACTTGTGCAGCAATGGATGGCAACCAGTAGAATCTCATCACCAGTCGGTCTGGGAGAAGGCAGTTGTCAATGAGCGCAACCTTTTGCATCACAACATGAAATTGTTCGACTTGCGTTGGAGTCATTCTACTCGTGTGCAAAAATGTGGATGGCAATAGTGGAAAAAAAAACCCTTCACTAATAAGACAGCTGTTAAACTCTTCTGCCCAACTACTGTATGACAGCAATGTCACACGGCAGTGGAAAAAAAACAGCACAAGTGATACATCATTGTTCGACTACTGAGCTCAGTTGTCTTATGAGTAAGCACAAAGAGTGTGGTAGTACAGGGACAATTCAGTGCATTATTAGGTCAGGAAATAAAATGCTCAGTTTGGACTCTGAACAGGAAGTAGTTGCACTGGTGTGTCCTAGTTGGTCTACCGGTGTGCAGAAATGTCATACACTTGTGGAAGGCAGTCGTGGAAAATATTGACCAGAAATACATTGCCATTCTATTCGGGCACCCTCCTTTTACTAATGATCTGTTCTACTATAAACATGACTAGTTCATGGACAATTCAGGGCACTAGTAGCATATGGGATAAATACTGCATGCAATAGCTTTGCCTGAGAAGCACTTGCGTTACTCTCTGGCGCTCTCTACAGGTGATGTCCACGGCCAGTACTACGACCTCCTGCGGCTGTTTGAGTACGGCGGCTTCCCTCCCGAGAGCAACTACCTGTTCCTGGGCGACTACGTGGACCGAGGCAAGCAGTCCCTGGAGACAATCTGCCTGCTGCTGGCCTACAAGATCAAGTACCCGGAGAACTTCTTCCTTCTGCGCGGCAACCACGAGTGCGCCTCCATCAACCGAATTTACGGCTTCTACGACGAGTGTGAGCAGAATGGGCCACAAATTGATAGTCGCTCGTTCTTCTGTGGTTCATTTTTTTTTTTCCTGAGGGGTGTTTTGTGCGTTTCAGGCAAGCGAAGGTATAACATTAAACTGTGGAAGACCTTCACAGACTGCTTCAACTGTTTACCAGTGGCTGCTATTGTAGACGAGAAGATCTTCTGCTGTCATGGAGGTAGCGACACGTTCCACTGGTACTCAAGCGGCGTCCACACATACCGACAAGTTAGACTTTGCCTTCAAAGTCAGCAAAGGCCCGATTATCACCAGCAAAATTTCTTGCAACATGTAAAATCCATGAAAAAAAATATGGGGGGGGGGGTGGAGTCTGCAAATATGCTGAGTACGAGTACGCACGTAATAATTCATAACCAACTTTGACATTTATGCACACTAGAAAAGGGGATTAGGCTCTCTAATATGTAAAAACTTGATTAAGATGCTAAAAAATTGTATGTTTGTACCCCGGCTAGGATAACTTACTCTAATGAAGTGACCACAGCATGTCTACTGACTGACATGTCCCCCCCCCAGGCCTGTCGCCAGACCTCCAGTCCATGGAGCAGATCCGCCGAGTCATGCGGCCCACCGACGTGCCCGACCAGGGTCTGCTGTGCGACCTGCTGTGGGCTGACCCCGACAAGGACGTGCTCGGCTGGGGTGAGAACGACCGCGGCGTCTCCTTCACGTTCGGCGCCGATGTGGTGGCCAAGTTTCTACACAAGCACGACATGGACCTCATATGTCGGGCACATCAGGTGAGCTGGGGGGTGGGCGACTATTCGTTACGGGTGTTTAAGCTCTCCTCATTTAACTGTCGAGACATCACAAGGTACCTAATTTTGAGATCTGTGCACCTCTCAGCATACTGTCGACTCACCGACCCTTAGATTAAGTGCATCAGAGGTGCACAGACCATTCGTTTTGAATGTAATAGTCTGTGCACTTGGAATGCGCTGTGTTTTGACAATATTAATGGCCTGCATCGTTTTTAATGGCCTGTACATTTCTAAACACACCTTATTTAATGATCAGTGTCCCGTTATTGGTGGTGGGCTGCACCGCTGATGCACACTATTTCCATATAGTATGTACCCTGTTTCATGGCTGCTACACAATCTTCTACCACATTGTGACTGCTCTGTGCACCTCTAAACAAACTAGATTTTATGATCTGCACACGTCTAAATTTGCAATTCAATGGTTGATTAACTTTTGAGGTATCTTCTGGTCTCTGCCTCTAAATTTGCCTTAATTGCTCTGTTGGCTAATCATTATACAAACCAAAATGTACCTTATTTCATGGTCGATGCACAGCTCATAAAGCTTATGAGCTGTGCACCTTTTATGTACCACATTTCATATTCTCTGCACCTCGAGATGAGCCATTTTGACCCTATTTTATGTTGTGTGCTTCTCCAATGTTCCTTAATGAATGTGCAAGTCTAATGTATCAAAATGGTCTGTGCTCCAATGAATACACCGGAGACGAGACAGCACTTACTTTGCGCCATACATTCGCGTAACACAGCTGATCCCATCTTGAATGGTGCCTTCTGTGACAACTGCAAGTATGATCATTGAAAACATTCACATTACATATTCAACGACTTCTTGAGTGCGCCGACGGCGCAGCCATATTGGATGTGGCAAAGTGAAGAAATTGTGAATATGCTTCCTCCTTGGAGATTCATCATCAAGCAAATTACGTAATTATTGCTTTTGATTTTATGTTATCCTAGCTCTGTTTTACAATATTATATGCCGAATTCATATCTAATATTAAAGCCACATACAATATGGCGAATGGGCTGACATATCGCTTAGACCCAGTTCAACAATTGTCTGCTACAGAATTGAAAAGAAAAGAATATTTCTATTCATTTTAAATTTCCAAAGAGTTTATGGCCCCCGTGGAATCTTGTATGAAACAGTTCAAATGCCTCTTTAGTTGCCGACATGAATTTAATATGTCCTTTCTCACTTTCCTTATGCAACATGACAGTCTCAACCTGTATAAATTCTTAGGGATTTTAGGGTGTTTTCCTCCTCACAGAGGCGCTCACTACAAAGCTCGTCACTTCATGAGAGAACCGCGTCGTCCATAAAATACAAATCACATGACATGTCTCGCAACATTACACAATGACAAACTTTCCGATGCAAACATTGACGTATTGCTCGCACGTACGCCTGCCTACCGTACTGATTGGCTGTTGCAGATAAGACTGGACATCACTCAAACAAAAATGACATCACTGTTTCTTTATATCTTTAATGTCTTTCTCAGTCACAACTCAACATTAGTATTTCACCCCAGAAAAATAGTTACTTTGATAAAATAATAATAAAAACTATACTTTTAGATATCCAGGCCATCAGCATGGTGGGCGGGTACCCAGAGACATACAACAGAGCCAGCCAGCTTTCTTAACCGGCTGGATTGATCATTGGTGAAATGGATGTCCGTAGGCACTCTATGTTCCCTGACTTTACACTAGGTGGCAGTGTTGCTATAAAAATATTGTTGAGATGAAATAGCATGTTAAGAAAACACCGTGTTTGGCTACACTCTGGCTTTGTTGTTTTGCCTCCCGACATCACATGCTTAACCCGATTAAGGGGACGGAAGGAAACCCAATTCTGTCCTTGCTTAATCTATCCTTTAAAAAAAAAAAAAAGAAAAAGAAAAAAGAAAACTTTCATCCCTCATCCTAAAAATGGGCATCGGACGGACCGTTCCATCCCAGGGACCGAATGCCCATCTTTGGCAACTACTACTGTGCAACTACATCCTTCATTAAACAGATAATTCAATTCTATACCTGAAATGATTACTAAATATAATGAATCTGTATTTGGTTCAATTTTTTTCGATGTTTTCTGAAAAAAAGACTGAAAAAAACTCGTCATTATTTTAGGAAGGTGATGTGTATCACATTTAATACCGGGTGCACTTCTAATGCACCATATTTCAACCTTTTTTCAATGGTTTGTGATTACCAATGTCCCTTTTTTCCTTTGTGCAGGTGGTGGAAGACGGGTATGAGTTCTTTGCCAAGAGGCAGTTGGTCACACTGTTCTCTGCTCCCAATTACTGCGGAGAGTTTGACAACGCCGGCGCCATGATGAGCGTAGATGAGACGCTCATGTGCTCCTTCCAGGTGTGTGCGTGTGTGAGAGCGAAAGAGTGAGATGTTTCACAGAATGTGTCACATTTTGACGACTGGCACACAAAGAAAACTGTCCAAAGCATTTTTGCCACCTTTCTGTCCGTGTGTCTCAGATCCTGAAACCGGCAGATAAGAAGTTGTATCCGTATGGCGGCGGTGCTGGGATGGGATCGGGAAGGCCCGTGACCCCGCCACGAAATTCCGCCAAGGCTGCTAAGGCTAAGAAATAACACCCACTACTGACTCATCCCCCCGCCCCCCGCCCCACCCCCAAGTTCGCCTGATGCCCTTTGATGATCTTTTTTCTTCCTTCCTACCTCCCAAATGTCTTTTTCTCCCTCATACATTTCACTCATTTATTCCCCTCCTGGTCTGTGTGCACGTCGTCACACAGGAAGTTTTTCTTCTCATTCTCCTTTCCGCCTCTTGGCAAAATAAGCTGTGTCCACCTTTGAGGTGTACTCACTTGCATTTTCTATGTCGTCTTCTCAGGATGGTGGCTTGCGTGTTAGGTTGGGGTGGGATTGTGGGGGCTTATATAGCGCATGCTGGCTGGGTGGGTGCATAGGCGCTAGCCAGTCAAAAAAAGAAGCGATTTAAAATGTGAAATACTTTTTAATTTTGTAGATATTTGAAAGCGACATGTCCTTTTTTTAAGATGAATAAAGAATCCGGAATGAGGCATTTCCCACATCAGCCCCTCAAAGATGACGCCAATGATCTTGTGAAAAGCTTGTGAAAGACGCACTTAACTAGTTGCTAAATGAGGTGTGGTGGAGGGTGGGATTATCTTGAACGGTCTCTGCAATTCCGAACACCGGTCCAGATCACTCGACTGCAGTCTGTAAAAGATGCAAGAAAGCAGGCAAAAATCAGCCGCGATAATGTTCAACTGCCACATGGCTCAATGGCGCTCAGGCCACGTTCACACTTGCTGGTTTGGATATGGACCAGCATTAGAATGACAGCAAAAAGTGTGGAAAAGACCAGCATCCATGTTTGGATGCATTTTAAAATTGCATTTTAATATCGTTTCTTAACATTTAAACTGGTTTAAAAATAGCTAGAATCTAAAAATAATGTATGCAAGGGAACAAAGAGCTTTAACAAAAAATGAAATAGTCATAAACGCGGTCCAATCAGGTTTAGAAAGATGGGTAAGTATGAATGCGGTGCCAATGTTTTTGGAAAAAAATATGTAATGTGGGGACATCAAGTGAATTGGAGCAGAGTACTGAACTACCGGTACATGTGTGAGAATAGTCTGCATGCAGGGGAACTCTGGAACAGTTCAGTTTCCATTGGGCAAAACACAGTCCAATCATGGCGCAAGTCTGCAATTGTATTATTATGACTATTTTTTTTTTTTAAACTGCGCCGCTTTTGTTAGGGTGATTAAAATGCCTAGTATGAACAGTAAACCAGCCAGACTGGCGTGCCAAAGTACAGGTATGAACAGGGCGTCTGTTCACTTGACTTTGAACGCGGATCATCGTTAAAATGACGAATCAGCAATATTAGACAGCACAAAAATGCCAAGCGTGAACACTAACCAAATGGGACCTGTGTACGAGTCGACAGGTATGAATATTAGGGCTGCCACAATGGCACCTGCCAGCAGCTGCTCTTGAATATTTCAAGCTATGTACAAAAATTAATAACAATTAGGATGATAATACATTCAAGTTAGAATAAATTGAAGGTGATACGGTGTACATAACATTTGTAGCTGTAAATGTTGAATGCATTTTTAAAATGGAACCAAAAACGATACACTATGCAAAGTTGCAGGAATACTCACATAGGAGCATGTGTGCGCTAATGCTAGCTTCCAGAGACGATTGTCCCGATGTCAGAAATGAAATTGGGCATCAGCCACAAAGTGCTTCCTTTTTTAGATGCTCGTTTATCACCGCCATGCTGCCATCAAAAGGCAGGTTTGCATGGTGTTTTAAGTATTTTGGGTGAAATGCGCCCAAACTTTCGGGCATGACGCTGGCCGCATTACCCACAAGGCTTCTGTTTCCATCACAGATGACCCGGGTTGCCACTACTGCGCATGTGCGTCATAGCCGAGACAAGGCAGGTTCGACAGAAAAATTAAATTGTCGACGATTTTGATTGTCGAGCTGGTCATGACTAGTCGATTAATCTTGGCAGCCCTAATGAACGCGTTCGAAAGTGAACTCGGGCACAGTTTGGTTCTGTTGAGCTGTAGTGCCAACGGTGTTTGTCACACCAAAACGTCGTCTAATTAGGTCGCGACTTGGAGAGAAGCTTTTGGCATCCATGCTAATGGTGAGCATAAAAGGCTTAAGTCAACCAGAGTCTTGTCAATGCATCAGCCGGCACAGTGTGAACACGGACTGACGTTCAGACGACAAATTACAAATGTTAAACGGCATGAGTAGCTGAATAAACAAAAATGCCAAGTGTGAAACAGGACAGTCCTCTCCTAAGTGACCTCTGGCACGGTTTGGTTTATTTGAGTGTGATTGGAACACAGACCACCCTAAAACAAGAAATTGTAAATGTTTCACAGCACGTTACACAAAATGTCTTGTTGAGACTTGCCGTTTTTTTTTTTTTGTTTTTTTTTCTTTGATCAAAATGCTTTTGGTCCAGGCCAGAATATTGAACCACAAGTGTGAACGTAGCCTGAAATGGGGAATACTACCGGGGTGAGCGGTTACCATGACAACTAACCAGAGGAGACGGGAAAGATACGGCGGCCGGTATTTGTTTGCCTCTGCTTGTTTTTTTTTTTTTTGGGCGGGGGGGGGTTGATGGGATAATAAGAGCCATAGACATAATTAACATTCATTATGCGTAACATACTAAGCGTGCATGGAGTCGGTAGTAATAAGAATAATAATGATGATGATAAGGCAAACAGGGTGTCGCTCCACATGGAAACATATCTTTCTGCAGTCTTTCAGGGTTTCTTCGACTTTTTTCGGCCGCCGCCGCCTCCTCTTCTCCGTTCTTTGTTACCACGTTTGTCTGCATCCTCCATTTTAGTCTGGTGATGATGACACGTCAGCGCCCATCCACTGAGATGAACTCAGGAAGCGATCAGGAAAACAAACAAATCATAACTACGCAGATACATGACACCAAAACCTTCAATCAGTCAAAAAAAAAAAAAAACATTCAATAAAGTGTCGCCAGGTAGGATAGAGAAGGAAAGGCATGCAATTTCAGTCCATGAAGTAGTAAATTAAGTAATTAAGGATTTATCAAGAAAAAAAAAGGTCCAAGCTGGCCACATGAGGCCACTTCCTTATAAACTCATAATAGCTGTACAGAGTTGTGCTTCTTTTTTTTTTTTTTTACACCATTGTCATTAATCACTTTTCTTTTGTTCATACTGTTTTTGCTGAAAAATATATCTCTATGATGTACGATTGTGTTTGTTTTTAAAGGAAAGGATCAGGGATGTTTTGCACCATATCCTTTCACTGGATGTGTTCGCACAGCAGCAGATCAGATCATTCCCATGTTTAAAAAAAATGAGAGAGAAACATGTGAAACTAATAACAAGGATATTCTATTTGTTGATTTCACCAGTAGTTCTCAACCCATTGCCATTTGTCTCTGTTAAAAGTATAGAAATTAAAAAATACAGAGAACTTGTATTCTGTTTTTTGGTGGCTTTTTGTGGGTTTTGTTGGTGTTTACATGACTGCAATGCAAGTATTAAAAAAACTATGGGAGGGGACCCACTTTTACACTAATCAAACAGTTTATTTTTAATTTTTTTTTAACCAAACAAAGTTTTACATACAAAGTGTCTTTTGGGGAAATGAATGAGTTAAAACAAAACAATGCCGCAAAAAATGTATTTTTTTGTTAATTTTTAAAATGGTTCACAACATATCTGGGTTTGGAACTAATGTATTTTTTTTCTTTAGAAGTTAAAATGTAATTACCCCACTCTGCGTGTATCACAATCGGGTTTTCATGCAATTTTGTACTTGCAAAGGTTTTAAACATTATTTTCAAAATATTTTTATTTGAATATAAAAACGGCATTCAAAAGATTATAATTGAATTTTGATCGTACTTTTTTGTTAAATGTTTATTTTTAATATTAAAATTAATTTAAAACTGAACTTAAAAATAAAAATGCCCACCGTTTGCTATACCACAAAAATCAAATCAAAGCCCCACAACTGATGCTGTGTTGCAATTCTAGTTGGGTTTTTTTTCCTCTTAAATTTACATTTACTTCAATTTTAATTTAGTTCATTTAAAAATAGAATTAAAGCCCCCACCCCTGTAACGACAGGGATCACAATGGTCTTTTCATGTAAAACTTTATTTTGAATAAAAATTTCTGCTTTTATTTCATTTTTTTATGATTTAAATTATAAATGAAAGGCCCACCTTCCGCTCCTGTATGCCACAGTGGGGCCTGTTCCTGCTTGTGCCCAATGTGCTGGGCAATTTAATGTATTAAACCGCTGGCTAATGCACGGCTTGCTCCTTCAACAGGTGGCCAATTATTGAACGTTCCACTTGAAGCAGCGAATGTTTGCAAATTTGTCAGCACTGCACCGCTAAAGTGGAAACGAGGACGAGGTGGGGGCGACAGTGGTCAAAATGCTTTGAGTGTTGCAAAAGGAGGCCCCTGCCCTATACGCTTTTTTTCCTCCGCAGCGGGTAGCGGCATCAGTAAAACATCACGAAAAGAGCGACCAATTGTAGGCTTTCAACACAACAACCGGGTGCGTGTGATTTGCCAAATAGACGCCGAACTCAACCAATAGCATTCGCTAAATTGAAGCCCACATTGTGCATCAACATACTATATACTCCGCTCCCCACTACGAACCGACCAATCACAACAGTCAGAGTCCAACCAATGCGTTTGATTTGCATGATTGACCTTGAAACCGTCAAATGGGGGCCTTGGGTGGGCGTGTTCACAGGTGCAGATCGTTCGGTTGCAGTGGGACGTAGCCGATCAACTTTTACTACCAGAGACTAATCTTATTTTTTCTCTATTTTTTTAAATGATATAACATGCCGAATTACTGTTTTAGCTGGCAATTACAGTCACAAAAATAACAAACACAACTCATTGCGTGCACTTGTCACGTCAGTCGCGGATATTTGCTCGCCGCGCTTTCATTAGATTCCAGAAGTATTCTGGGGCGGAACGCTAGCTAGCCAGTCAGCTAGCTCGCTACCAAGCTAGCATGTTGCTAGGCTAGCTGCCCAGGCGAAGACCTGCTTTTTGGGGGGGATCTTAGTCCTCCACTCTCAAGCTCCTGCTTTCGTTGACCGGAAAAGACTCCCAGGTAGGTTCTGCGCGGCGACCGTCTACGCTATGCTTTGAATCTTTCGCTAATGTGTTTGTATGATGCGGGGATGCTAGCTCTCCAAAGCCGCTACCCACTACACACTTGTGCACAGCAGCTGACGAGCAACATGCTATTGTAACGCGCTAAATCTACTGTAGTCAGTAATGAACTCGTCGACACTTGATGCCTGCTAGTTGGGGGACGTAGTGACACGATTTTAACGAGCGGCCTCATTGTAGCTTTTTATTAATCACGAAGGCCGGTATGCATTTTTATTCTGGACAGTCAGGAGATGTCAAAGTTGTTTTTCACGTCGTGGTTGGGGTTAGAACGGAGAAACCGCATTCTTGTACAAGATAGGTGTGAACTGTTTAAATTAACTTTCCCCCCTTTACAGGAGGCGTGACTAATGATAAATGGTGTGAATCCAGAACAAAGGAAGTGGATTCCAAAGCAGTGTAAGAAAGGCAGAAAAGCAGAAAGAAAGATGCAAAAGAAAAAAGTGGGTCTAAGAGAAGGCAGAAAGGAAGGAAAGAAGAAAAACAGGTCTGCAAAGAAAGGTAGAAACTCTGCTGTGATGGAAGATACATGCATGCATGAATGTGTGAGTAAAGGACAAAAAAGCAGGTGTGACAGGAGGCGGAAATGAAGGGAGAATGGCACCAAATTAGGATTGAGTAACTGAAGGATGACTGATGCAGGAACAAAAAGCAGGTGTGAGGAAAGGAAGCCAAGAAGGAAGGAATGAGGGCAGAAAGAAAAAGATCCCCAAATGCCGGTTTGGTACGTACCTTGATTTTAGGTCATAGTTCAGTTTGCATTTGTTATTGCATATCTCTAGTAGCAAGTAGTCAACGACACTAAAAATGGAACATCAACAGTCTTGACTCTTATCAGTAAATTGCAACATAAGTAGTCTTCTGTGGACGAAATGAAGAATGCAGACAAGTGCAACATTTTAAACTGAGTTATGCAGTAAAAACACTAGTAAGTCACATTTTTTCATGCTTTTGCTCAACTCATGTTCTGATTTGACACAGTGTCTTATGTTAAATTCATAGATTTGTTTTTGTAGACCCACAGTGGACTGCAAGTGATTGATTTACTGCGGCTTGCTGTTTGCCCTGGTTTTTTGCTGCTCTTACGGTAGATGTTCAACCTTTTTCAGCATGCTGATGGTGGGAGGCCATGGACTGCTGCACTAGAATGAGTGTGAAGGAGCTGTGTGACATTGATGACCTGGCCACCAGCCTGGTGCTGGACCCTCTCCTGGGCTTCACCACTCATAAAATGAATATCAGGTAAATTCGTTCGTGATCCTGCGTCGATTACTTGAGCGTCACAAGGCCATTCGTAGCGTCCATTAACCCACTCAAACCTTACATCCTGGCATACGAGATTTCGAGGTCACGAACGGTGTGGAAGGAACCATGGTTAAGATGCACTCCGTTTCCGATTGGACTAAACTTTATTTTACACTTCACAAGTGCAAGGAAACGAAACGTACATGGTTACTATCCAGAAGTGCATGAGCAGTAATTGGAGAACATACACGGTATGTACAAAATGTAAGACTCGAGATGGTATATGTATGTCATGTACAGTATAATATGTCAACATGAATCTATTTGTACAGGCATGTGCCAGCTGAACGAATTTATGGTCCCTATGGTTTGATCGCTGAAAACAGTGTGCAATGGCGACATACTGGATGTCTTCTATTAAGGGCCTAGTGTAGGTCATAAATTAAGGACCTGCTGTATTTGCTTCACTAATTTTTTCAAAATAAAACACACTTTTGAAATACTGACATTTCTGATTGAGAAGGCAGCATACAATTCGACAGTGAGATCCCGGTATTTGTGGTAATACAATATATAGTTTATATAGCTTACTTGGATTTATGATTAAAAAAAAAATCTCGCCTGTTATTCAACACCTTGCATGAAAAAAAAAAATTAACAGAACATCTTGAAATTATCCATGCAGCAAGCACTCCAGCTTAATCTTTATATTTTAAAATTTTAGGTCCACAAGCAGAAAATGTAAGGCTGCACTGGAAAAGGACTTGTAAAGTACATATTCACATTTCCTGTCATTTTCTTTGGATTAATGATGAATATTTTGACAATAAATGCAGAAACCACAATGCTTTCAATTCACATTATATTGCACAAGTTTGACAAAACAGACATGGACTATTGGTGCTCCCATTGGATGTAAATGACAAGGGCAGCACTGGAGGCACAAACCCCAAAATGGCGGAAAACATGCCATTCCTATATCCTGCATTGTTGCTCTGCATGTTTCTGCTACAAAATCATTTTGAGTGTCAAGAGCAGGACATTCAATCCACATTTTGCGACAGTATTTTTCAACATTTTGGAACATCGTCAGTATTCAGACCTGTAGCTAACCGCACAGAGTCCGTTTGGAAGCGCACTGGGACCACCTCAAAAAGTGGGTCTTGGTCCAGTTGTTTTGGTACACACCGGGATTCTTTTGTATAAATTCACTCCTGCGTAAAAAGTCCTTTTAAAGCGGCCCAAAAGTGTTGGTGTGAATTCACCCTAAAAACGATGACGTTCTCTCTCTTTCTGCGTGTGTGCAGCCCAGCTCCGGAGGTGCGTCGCTGGGGCAACCTGAAGGAGACGCTGCTGCGCTTCCAACGCACACACGACTTCAACGCCACTTTCGAGGCGCTGACGGTGGGCGAGCTGGCAGGCGACTACTTCAACGCTTTGGGGAGTCACCGGCAGGAGCTACTGAGGCAGCACGTGTGTACTCAAACTGTGCAATTTCACTTATAATATTTTAGTGACTATACTAATTACATGTTGCCTCCCTGGTATGTCCCTCACAGTAGTGAATTGAAATTTGGGGTAAAAGTTTCAAAAGACTAGAATTCAGAACATAAAGGTACACAGTGCTCCCTTACAATTATTTTTTCCTGGTTATTTTTTTTTCTGTGTATGAAGCATTTCAAATGGGTGTCAGTGATGATAAGCCAAAGGAGGAGAAGGAAATCCATCCATCCATCCATCTATCCATTTTCCGATCCGCTTATCCTCACAAGGGGGGGGGGGGCTGGAGCCTATCCCAGCTGTCTTTGCGCTGTAGGTGGGGGACACCCTGGACCGTTTGCCAGCCAAACGCAGGGCACACAGAGACGAACAACCATCTGCGCTTGCGCTCACACTCACACCTACGGACAATTTAGAGTGTTCAATCAGCCTGCCATGCATGTTTTTGGAATGTGGGAGGAAACCAGAGTACCCGAAGAAAACCCATGCAGGCCCGGGGAGAACATGCAAACTCCACACAGGGAGGCTGCAGCTGCAATTGAACCTGGTACCTCTGCACTGTGAGGTCGACGCGCCAACCACCGGGCGTCCGGACAAGGAAATGACTACTACTAAAAAGAATCCACCATGCAAAAATCTTTCTCACACCTGGACACAGTTGTCATGCGATGTATGTGTCTTAGAATTAACACCATAGCTTGCCTTCGCATATTTGCCATGGCACCCCTCTGCACAATCCAACGAAACAAAAAGGATACAAATAATCCCCAGCACACTGTCAGACAATGTGGGACATATCGCACAGTCTATGCTGCGGCTCTACTTGCCGCTTATTCATGATAACCATCACCTCCGACAGAACCACTAGAAATAATCCATAGTCAAAAGTCCACGGTGGCGCTCGCTGTCACGCATACGGTGTGTATAGCCGACGTGTCGTGTTAATTCCAAGGCTCACAAAATGATTGATTTGAAGTCGCCGTCTTATCCACAGGTGAACCGCTACCTCAACGCCTTCCTTTTGGATAGCGGCATCCAGATTGAGTCATGTGACCGCTACTCCTCGGAGACCAACGGAGCCAAGATTACCTCTACTCGACACTGGTGAGTCAAGACATAGGTCTTCTCTATGAGTGCTCCCCAAGGGACATTCTTCACTTAGGCAACCTTAAGCAGTCGTATATAGCTGGGGGGGGGGGGTTTAGCTGTGCGACCTGGGCCATGGACCGGTGGTTGGGGACCACTATTCTATAGGATGTTGCATCATGGCATCACGCGTACTTCCGGGTGGTTGCCTTCTCAGATGGCATCATTTAGTAAACAACAAAGGCAGTGCTGCAGGGTTAAAGAAAAATGGCTTGAATGATGATTTTAGGCTTCATCTTTTTCCACCACAGTTTGATTTAGCCTCCTCACCAACAGGTTCCACTGTATTGGTTTAAATATGAGATATCCAAGGGACTAAACAGTAAATCTTTTGGAGTTTAATGTGGCAGTGCAACCCCAAACTCAATTAGTTACTGTTTCCGTTTTCATTTGAAGTCTGTGGTAGTCAATCACCTTGGACCACCCGGCAACGCCCTGATGCTGAAAAACATGAAAAGACTTTGGGGTGTAACATTTGTCGTTGGCGGTCAGGTTTGCGGGGGAGCGCGTGGAGGTCCTTCTGGGCTGCATCGCCGAGCTGAGCCCGGATGACAGCGCTGTGCTGCGGGCGGGCGTCAACGACTTCAGCGTCATGTACTCCACGCGCAAACGCTGCGCTCAACTCTGGCTTGGACCCGCCGCCTTCATCAACCACGGTCAGTTTGGGCATTCAAGTGAGCCAAAAAGTCAGGTTTGAACTCAAACAAGTCCTTGATGTTTGCACATTTTTTTTTTTTTTTTTTTTGTGGAAATGTCCATAAATGTCCACAGAGGTTGTTTGTGTCTGAACGAATGGTGCCCTCTGCTGCCATTCTGCCTTCATTGCTTCAAGATATTTGGGATGTCCACAGCTCTTTTGGAAATTTCCATTTAGAGTTTACAGGACCAAATTGAAAGTTTAAAATGTTTTCTGCATAATTAGTGATCTTAGTCTTTAAAATGACATACTCTTATCACCTGCAATTCATTGGTACTTAAAAGGTACAGCGTGTAGAATCTTTACTGCCATCTAGTTGTGAACTGATAGAATGCAGCGCATGCATTTCGAAGCTTTTGGCATGCGTACCACCACTTTCTTCAGCAAAGGTTCAGGTTGAACTTAAACAAGGCCTTTGTTTTTTCCCATTTTTTTTTTTTTTTTTTTTTGTGGAAATGTCCATAAATGTCCACAGAGGTTGTTTGTGTCTGAACGAATGGTGCCCTCTGCTGCCATTCTGCCTTCATTGCTTCAAGATATTTGGGATGTCCACAGCTCTTTTGGAAATTTCCATTTAGAGTTTACAGGACCAAATTGAAAGTTTAAAATGTTTTCTGCATAATTAGTGATCTTAGTCTTTAAAATGACATACTCTTATCACCTGCAATTCATTGGTACTTAAAAGGTACAGCGTGTAGAATCTTTACTGCCATCTAGTTGTGAACTGATAGAATGCAGCGCATGCATTTCGAAGCTTTTGGCATGCGTACCACCACTTTCTTCAGCAAAGGTGCAAGCAAAATATCATCCCAAAAGACTTTTAGTCTTCCCTCAAGTGCTGGAATAAATTCATGGCAGTTTTTAAACACGCTGTATTCATCAAGTTGAGGAACGGCGTTTGCTCGGTTTGTCTCCTTCGAGTACCCGTGGGGGTGCGAAACATGGTAGCCTCTTGTAGGGGAGGCTCACCCTATGTAAGATAATAATTACCTGACCTACAAATACTTCAAAAATATATATACATTGATGTGATGGAACATATTTTTTGCGTGTTATTAAAATTAATAAAAAAATAAAAATAAACAGTGTAAAAGCAACACATTTTTAGCCAGTGCCCCTTTAAATTCCATTCTGCCGTCATTGCTTCAATATACTAGTTGTGCCCAGATCCTTAAAAGTTTGATTTTCTTAAATATTTATGGGTTCTATCTGGTCTTCAAAGGTCCTAAAAATCCACTCTTCATTATAATCTTGAATTTGTTCTTTCCAAAATGGAAGGATTAAATGTCATGTTGAAGGATAATGAAGATTTATTCTTAAAAATGACATGAAGGGTAATTATACGGGAAAAAAATCCTTGAATCTTGTGATAAACCTCCAGTTGCCACAAACACAAACACATTTAATTTCTAATGACATTTTGTCAATAAAAAGTTGGTGCAAATTTGTCTAAATATAGACGTATAATAATTATTATTGTACATTATCCACCAGTATTGGTTATATTTAGTGAAGAAACATTAGGTGGCATTAAAAATTCTTGGAACTGAATGTTACAGCAAGTAAATTGAACGCCATGGACAGAATTCTTAACAATCGGTAATCTGTTGATGATTTATAATGATGACCCGAGCTGAGTTCCTAGACAGTATTATACACTTTGCTTATTTAGATGGCATTATGTACATTTGAAGCACAAGTTTTAAAGCCATCACAGAAAACAAACTTTTAATTTGCACCCCCAAAATATTTTGGGAATGTTTGCTGTTGCGCGATAAAGGATCTTTTGAGTGTTTAGGAATTTAATCCCATGAAGCGCCTTTGAGGGAATGGCATTATTAGACTTGATTGATTTGTGCCTAAACTAATCACATCTTTGTCTGTCTGTCTTGTGTTTGTGCTCGAAGACTGCAAGCCAAACTGCAAGGTGAGCAAACATTCATTCATCAGAGACAAAGTAATACGAGGTCTAACCTGGACAATTATCCACACCATTGACTTGATTACTTCTAAACGTTGAGCATCTGATTTTATTGTCCCCGCCATCTGTCTTATCTGCGCATCTCTTGTGGGCCCGACCAACCCTTTGTCTTTCCCCACCTGTCACCCAACCCTACGCCCAGTTTGTCCCCGGTGAGAAGAACGGCGCTTGCGTGGAGGTGATTCGACCCATCTCGCCTGGGGAAGAGATCACGTGCTACTACGGCGCCAGCTTCTTTGGCGAGGGCAACGAAATGTGCGAGTGCTGCACCTGCGAGAGGTGTGTCGCTTGCTCTTCCCGCTGGATCTTTCGAACCCGTTTTGAGTTATGTCTAACGCACCAGCGTTGATTCTCCTCTAGGAAAGGGGAAGGTCACTTTAAACACAAAGGGAAGCAGCCGGAATGCGAGGAAACAAAAGACCCCGTGGGCCAGAAGTACCGCCTTCGGGAGCGCTACCTTCGGCACCAGCGAGAGAAGGGACACTTAAACTCGAGGCCCATTATTCCAGGATTACATTCAGGTATTCTCTCAGGGCTTTTCTCTTCACTTTTGCTTGTAACAACTTCTGAAATACGGTATACAGTACACTGGTACCCTGACTTATGAGTCTTTTTTTTTTTTTTTTTGCGAGTTAGCATCAGAATCACCGCAGCTCAAATGAAACGAATAAAAAACAAACGAACAAGTAGTTAAGGTAATGTATTGCCCTGGCATGGGAACAAGGAGAGCTACAGTCATGGATAAACATGGTGCAGAGGCTCACACTGAAGTCACTGGGCTTTGCCGCATCAAAAGGCACACATGCAACACACAAATTACACAGGAGCCTTCACTCACCCAATACACCAGTACCAAAAATGTTCAATCTCAAAGTTTTTTTGGGTACCGTATTTTCACGACCATTCGGCGCACCGTATTGTTGGGCGCAGTCTCAGTAACGGGTGCTATTTCTGTATTTGACACATACACAAAACGCACTGTATTATTGGGCGCAGCCAGGCATGGTAAAACATACGCCAGCTTAAACATACGGCATGCATGCACGCAGGCTAAAAACACGTTAGCTTAAAGCATACGGTAGCAACTAAGACATACGGACACACGCTAAAAACACGTTTTTAAAAAGGCAACGGAAGCAAAACTGAGTTCGGTTGTACTTTATTTAGCCATTTTACGATGTACTCACGCGACTGGTACCTGGTAGAGGCATGCCTTTAGCGTCCTCTTACACGCCTACCCTTCACTCATTGGCGACTGGTACCTGCTGGGGGCGTGCCTTTAGCGTACTCTTACACGCCTACCCTTCACTCATTGGCGACTGGTACCTGCTAGGGGCGTGCCTTTAGCGTCCTCTTACATGCCCACCCTTCACTCATTGGCGGACTTCCGCATGCCTGTCGTCACTCACGTCCACCTTTTCTCTATATAAACAGCGTGTCGGCCAGAAGTGCTCTCAGTCAGGCTTTGGAACTCGGCACATACACAACACGCACCGCATTATAAGGTGTCCTGTCCATTTTGGAGAAAATTTAAGACTTTTAATGGCGCCCTATAGTCGTGAAAATACGGTAATTATTTCATATAATGCAGTTCCCGTTTTGTCTTCAAAAAAAAATCGTTTTTTTTTTTTTTTTTTTTAATGGTCTGCAATAGATTACTTGCATTTAAATTGAGGAAATTGATTTGATATATGAATACATTGGGTTACCAGCTTGGTTACAGGATGAATTAAACTTCTAAGTCATGGTAGGACTATGCTTTTGGAAATTGGAACTTGCCATAGTGACTTGACCTTGTCTTTTGCCTTCTAGCTATCCCCTCTAGGAACTCTTTCACCCATCAGATGCGGAAAAACGCCCTTAAAAACCGAAAGTGGAACCAGACAAATAAGTGGAGGCTACAGAACCACAGACTCGCGAGACCGTGTGAAGAGCAACGAACGCTGCCGCTCCTGTCACAGTGCGTGATCCGGGACCTGAGGATTAGGGTGCGGCGCCACTCGCTGGACTTTTTGCTTGTCTGCAAGGATCCCAAAAGCAAAGAGAGGGCCCTCCTGCAGCAGCTGGAGTTGGTCAAGCCAAGGACAACCGCCAACGTGAAGCGTTTCTCGCTGGGTTGTCTTCAGAAAAACAGAGTTCGGGTAGGCCCCAATGGGAAATCTGTCAGAGGGGTTCCCTTGAGGAGCTCGTCCAGAACCAGAAGCACGGACAGGGTCGACCCGGACAAAACCTCCATCACGAAAAAGCAAGAGAGCAAGGAGCAAGAGAACTTGGAGCCCAGCGTCTGTCAGAGTGCCCCGGCCCCTTGTAAGAAAATTTCAGACAAGCCAGTAGTGTCACTCAAGCAATACCTGACCGTCCGCCTCACTCGAATCTCAGCGCCTTGCGAAGAGGCACCGGGACTGAGTGTTGACAACCGGGACATAAGGGAGGAGCTGAGAGGGAAGATGAGGCAAATTCAGGGCCTCAGACCACTGAACACACAGAAATCCCAGCAGAGGCAGAGACCACCATCCCCGATTACGCCGGGCCACCGTGCTGCCGAAGCCCCTCGAGGAGTGCGGGAAATGTTCTTTAAGGCCAGTGATCAGGGAACACTACGGAAGCGGCACGCCTCAAAAGAGGCAGTGGGTGACTCCTCTCATCTCGAGGAAGGTGGGAAGAACAAGGTTATTGAAATCCAGACAATAGCGGAAGAGGGTACACAACCAGACAAAGATAAACCGGAAGAACACAAAAAGAAAAGAAATGCCACAGCTACTGAATGTAAAACCGTGTCCTGTGCAAAAACGAGCCAACAGAATAACTTGCAGGGTGTTAAATCTCCAAATCCAGGTGAGGTTGTTGTTTTAGAACCGTTAAATTGCACTGCAAACAAACCAGTACACAATCCAAGCAATGACATAATCATAAAGCAGGCCAAGGTCCTCCTGTCTGATTTTTTGAAGAACGATAAAGCTTCAGTAGTCAAGCAACCACATGGTGATAGTTCCCCCTTAAATGCGAGAGAAATCCATGCAGGCAGCCATGTGGCAGCAAGACGGAATGTCGGACGGTGGCAGAAAATCCACAGAAGAATAAAGACTAAAGCCGAGCTGAAATCCAACAGCACAGAAAACGGTTTAGTCCCCACTGTACAGAATCCAACCCAGATCGGGGAACCGGTGGCAACCTGTCTCAACACACTACCTCTCCAGTCGCCTGTTTCATGTGCCAACATGTGCCAGACCACTCAGCACCTTGACGCCATGCAGTCCAACATACCTCTGAAGAAGCGGACGTTCCGCAGTGCTGTGGAACCGGAGCAAGGCATAACCGCTGCTTCTGCCACTAGCCGGAAAGAGGTTTCCGGCCCGTCCTCAAGACAGGAACTGGATCGTCATCCAGAAAAGACTATGAAACATGTCAAAAAAAGCAAAAGGACGCGGGCAAAAGTCCGGAGGGTGAGCTCCAGAAGAGTCACGAGGCAAAACGTGGGCAGGGTGCTAAGGCCTCGAGTTATTGAAACTCCTCAGAGTCGACTGAGGAAAGTTGACACGCTTAAATCTGAGAGGGAAGATGAGAATAGCAACCAAGAGACTGTTCAGCTCGACAGGAACCATCAGACGAAGGATGAGCAAGAGAGCGACTCTCAGAAGGGAACGTCAGCTTTGGAACAAAGTGATGTTGAGGAGACAAAGCCAGAACTTAACTTCAGGATTCGTTTCAAGCGGAGAAGAGGGAAATTGTGGGAGATGCAGAGCAACGAATTGGGCTCTCCAATCAAAATGGAAAAGGAGGAGGAACTCAACAACGATCCGTTTAAAGCCATCATGGATTCAGTGTCTGTGTTGAGCATGGAGATGCAGGCGGCTCAGGCCCATGTGCAGGCCAGTAAGAAGTCCAAAAGCAGACTCCTTCGCTTGAAAAAACGGGGCGAGAGGAAGAATGCGTCCACAATTTCGGAGCTGGACAGAGAAGAGAGCAAAGAAAAAACAGACGGGGGGATTCCTTCTGGTTCAAGCCTTCAGTTGGACAAAACCCAGAGTGAGAAGTCATCTTTAGTCCGTCAAACGAAAACGGAAGATGGGTTCACGAGAAGCTGCTGCATGTTTGATCGTGGGTCGCAGCAGAAAATTGAGTCCAATTTGGATTTCAAAGGTGTTCCGCTGCCGGTTCTCAAATTGCGCAGAAAGGTGAAGGACATCTGGGAGGTTGACGACAAGGATGAGGGGCAGAACCAGTCCGAAGTTAAAGTGGATTCACCAGTGAAGCGAGAGGTACGGAGTCCCCCTTTAGTCCAGCAAATACCAGGACTGCTGGACTTAAGCAAGGTCCGAGAGGAGCCACCACCATTGACTCAGAAGTTGAACTGTCACTCATTGCTCCAGAAAACTGAAGCGCTGCAGATGTCTTTGTCGCTGTCGCCGCTTTCCCTGTCTTCCCCTCAAAGCGAGACCCCAGAGAGCGCAGTCGCAGCGAACATAACTGCTGAGCGACTGGAAGCCTGCAGCAGCAGTGGCGGCAGGAAGCAGTGGCACAAAATGGCGTCCAAGTGTGGCCCTGTGGAGACACCCGCGAGCTGCCTCAGTCAGTCCCTCCAACAGATTGACAACAGCCTCTCCAGGCTCTCTGAGGGTCTATGCTCATCACAGATTTTGGAAAAGACAACCGCCTTGTCTGGAATTTCCAGTTCCATCATCCAGCCTCAGTCCCAGTCTCCACCGTTCCCAACTGCGGACAACATTCTACCGGGCGAGCCCAACTTCGCAAACTGCTGCGACGACCTCCTGGACTTCCAGTGTCTCAACTTCGAAGGCTATGATCAGCCGCAGAACATCCTCAACTCATCGCCCTCCGATCTGTGTTCACTGGATCCCCCCACGGACCCCTTCAGTAGCCCGCTCTCGCACAGCCCCTCTGACACGTGGCCCACTGAGACACCCTACCTCGGCTCCCCGAGTCCCGACAACAACTTCACCAGTGACGATCTCCACTTCTTCCCCGCTATGCTCACATCCAAGAATGATTCCGTTCCTCTGGACTGTGAGGCAAAGAGTGCCTCTGGCAAAATCCCACCCCAAGCAGGCTTCAGTTTTTCAGCGTTCACCAATCCCGAACTGGGGGGAAAGGACCACCTTCTCAGTAAAAATCCCGGAATGAGGCTGTCCAGAGAGGACTTAAAATATCATTCCTCATCCGTGGTTAGCAAACCTCGCCTATTTGGCACACCTGCTGCCATGTCTCAGAATACTCTTCCTTTAGTACAGCCCACCCTGAATGCCAAACCAAGCACCAGCCAGTCGAGAGCTACATCCAACCTCAAAACGAATGGACCCTTCCACCGCATGTCAATTTCCAAACAGCCCCAGTCTTTTCCAAACTGCCAGCCTACTGCGCAACGAGGCGTCGCCCAGATGAAGCCTGTCCTGGCGTCTCCGATGGCCGGTAAATTCCTCAATCCTCAACTCTTAGCTGGAAGAAATCCTAACCCCTTCCCTGGAAGAAATCCTAACCCCTTCCCTGACAATCCCTTCAACATCCAGGATAAGTCCCCCACTGTGATCCACAGGGTTGTTAAAATTCAGGGCGGTAACCCAAGCCAGAACTTGTACAGTGTTCCCTCCAAAGACCATGTGGCTGCCGGCGGCCACTCTACATCTAAAACATTCGGAACAAAATCCACAGAAAACACAAGTGAGGACCCGCAGAGTCATCACAAAGGCACTCATTCTGCTCAGAACCTCAGCTATTTTGCTCCTTCCGTTAACCCCGGCAGGTCCAGCGTCTATTTCAACAAACACGGCTCATCCTTACACTCGTCATTCATCCGAAGTAAACCAGCCTCCGACAAGCAGGACGATACCACTTTGACGTACAAAAACTTCTCTGCGCTGCCGAGACCTTTCTTCTTCCCCAGTAAAGACGGTTATTCTTTCCCACAGGAGAAAACCTCCAAACATGACAAATCCACTCCGCTGAGCTCTGACAAGAACCAGCCGTGTTACCCTCAGCAGGATCCATTTGATTTTAGCTTCACGTCGTCGCTTTCTCCAATGTCACATCACAGCAGTCCTCAAGTGGTCCACAGTACGCCGCCCGGCACACCGGCATCGGTCGGCAAGAGCCACCCGGCAGCCTCCTTCTCTTACGGACCACAGGGACCCCCTTATGTACTCAATTTCAGCGGTGACCACTCGTTGACGTTGGGTCTCAGGGACGGGCCCGAAGGTTACCCGGGACTCGGCCCCACAAACTACACCTACCATTGCTTGATGGAGCCGTCTGGCACTCAGGGGCGGCTGGTCCTGGAACCCTGCGGTTCTCAGGCATCCAACCAGCCCTCGTTTTCCATGGGTACCTTCTCGGGTCACAAAGGGGGTCCGGACGAACGCCTAAAGAAGGACGCTCACCACCAGAACCACCCAGGCGACCACCAGGAAATACCACACTATGGACCAACATCTCACTCCATGGGCCCTACCAAACCCAAGCGGGTGAGGCTGGTTGTGACGGACGGAACTGTGGACTTGGACCTCCAATACTCTGACTGATCCACAGGAATACACTCACATGTTTTTGCAAAACTACTTTGAGGGTCTCTTAGTTTTCCATCATTGTAATGAGCCCGGAAGACACTTTGATTTGATGACCAAACTGATGATGAATTGTATTGGCGACAAGTCACAGATGCGGTGTCTGGGGCATGCGACTGGTGTGCTGGGCTTTTAACAGGCATCTTCGTGCCTCCGTCTTTCCTATCAGACTTTTTGAAAGCTTCCGCTTTTTATACCCCCGATAATCTCCTTTCTCACGGTTTGTACGCGTGCGTATGTGTTTTTAGTAGTTGAGCAGTTGCTGTTGACTGCTGCGAAGCTGTCAAGTCTCAGAGTGGAACTTTAGACGTTTTTATTTTTTGTTGTCTGAAAGCTACCTAAAATTTCATGTGAAATCTGGTCAAAAATTCCCAATATGTGGTAGCAGCATCTGTGTCAAAGTGTCACTAGCCCCTTTGGCACTGTCAGAATATTTCCCTCACTTTTCTGTGATAATGGTACGGAAAACGGATTGGAAGGGTTGGTTGAACCTCCAAATTTTCCCGACGTGTCGGAGGTAGGATGGTCGCTGTCTGAAAATGGGTAGCCGACAGGCAGAATGACAGGCAGAATGACAGGCAGAATGGGGTTTTTGAAATTAAACAGCAGACACTCATTTCTCCCAGCCTGTTGTGGTGTTTGAGAACTATTATTTTCAACATCACACCACATGCCAGGGTGCCAAGTGTCCGATGAGAATTTTAAAGCCTCTATTCCAGCTTTCTGTGATGCCCTTTCAGACACTCCCCAATCTGCCTCTGCAAATTGGTTTCATTTCAGTGCGTTTGATGCAATGCCGGGGTTTACGTGGCTTCCCCACATGCTTTTAGGGGCACGGCAGAGACGGCACGTTGTCTGTGTGTGAAAGGGGGATAGTGGACACCTAGCATGGAAGTTTGAAGTCTGAACACCCGACACTCACCACTCCTGCCTTGTTTTAGTGAAAGTAGCCGTTGCTGTCTGACAACAGTTTTATACATCACGCCATATGCCAAGTAAATATGAATTTCACATCGCCTCTGCCCTGCCCGTTGCCCCTTTCACATCAATTTGAATATATCATGCTAATCAGTCTTTTTGACACAGGATCGAAAATATCCCAACTCTAGTGAGTTCTGGTTCAAAAAGGTGCTTCGGTTCAGTTGCGGATACCCCGGTTTTCCGGAAACTGTGCAAAAGGTGTAGTGATGACAAGCTCGTAAATGATGAAAAACGGTTCCTTATATATCTTGTCGTTATACTTACATGACATTCAGTTATGGCTTTTAAGTTTTAAGACTTTTCTATGAAATTTAATGAGCTGTGGAAGGTCCGCTGTCATCCACAGTCAAGCAAATAATTTATCTTTTGAGGAACAAACGGTGACAATCTTTCCACTGTGTGTGTGTTTATCGTCATCTTTTCCAACAGTCGCCCGTGTCGTCATGATTGTCGTGTTTCCATGGCAGCCTTACATCCCAGTGTATCGTGTATTTATTTGAAACTTGGCCTCCTCCCGGTCCCGGTTTTAAAACTAAATGGTGCTTGAACCTAATTTATACTTCACCTTGGTTGTTGATAGGACGAAATGCTTTACTGTTATTTAATGGGACGAAAACCTTATTGAGCAGGATATAGAGATGACATATATATAAATATCTATAAATATATATTATATGACTTGTAATGACTTTCTCATCAGCTGTTGTAAAACTTTATATTAGCCACCCCCCTTTTCCAAATCCCCTCCTCCTAAAAAGTGTTAGTCTTACAAAAAAAAAGTTTGCTGTAGAAATGTATAAAATGTAGCTTGTATTATTAAAGACTCTTAGTGCTTTTCATATTTCACCTTCTGGAGTCGTTTTATGTGTTTGAGTGTTCATGACATTTTAACATTTTAGCTAGAAATATATACATATATATATATATATATACACACACACACACACACACACTGCGCTGAGTGAAGTTCTATTACTAATATTTTGAGTCGTGCCTCATCAAAATATTAGGAATAGCTATCAGGAACATGAGTTAAGTCCTGATTTACGTACTTCAAAATTCATCTCCGCTGATGTGCACTGCTAATGACATAGCTGTTAGCATAGGTGAAATCCATGGTTGGCCTTGATTTTCAATGTTTTCCCAGACCATCCAGGAGACATTTTTTTTCCAGGGTGTCATCCTTGAGGCTCCGCGAAGGTTGGATGCGCCCGGAACACCTTACCAGGCAGTCGCTGGAGGGATCCTCAGTGACCTCAGTGGAAAGGGAGATGAAGTTCCACGGATTTGATTTCTGTGGAAGGAGTACCCGCACCAATGTTCACTGTAGCACCCCAACCGATAGGCCGAAGGTGCCGGCACTGGAGGTAGAGGGTGGCCACAACAAAATGGGAGTGAGTTGAGCAGGATCCACCCCAGTGCGGCAGATGCGAGCTTTCTGGATATGTCCAAACCATCTAGGTCTGCTCTCGCTTACTTGGTCCCCAAATCTTTGAACCATGGCCATCCCTCTGATGAGCTTGTTTGTAATCTTATCCCACCAATCTTATCCTCGACACAACCTCAATGTCATCTCTGCTTCCTGTTGTCTCTTAAGTGCCACAGTTTCAAATCCAGACATCATGCCCCCCCCGGCCGCCGCTTCATCACACAAACTCTTAACGGCTGGCACTTTCCTCCACCAGTTCCAACCTGCTCAGAGCATTTTCTTCACCTCCTCACTACACTCACCATTGCTTTGGACTGTTGACACTCAGTGTACAAAATCCACCACTCTCATTATCGCTTCTCCCTCGAGCCTTACTCTCCTGCCCTATTCCCAATTCAGGCATATCAATTCTGTCTCTGGCTAATCTAAATTCCTCCCCATTTCTGTCCATGCCTCTTACCTTTCAAAATGTTCATCCAGCTTCTCCCTGCTTTCACTGCAAATCCCAATGTCGTCTGTGAACGCCTTGGTCCAGAATCCAGTCTAACCTCATCTGTCAGCCTGTCCATCACTCGTGCATCGAGGAAGGAGCTCAGAGCTGATCCCTGATGCAATCTCACCAACACCGTGAACACCGACAGCACATCGGGCCCTGGTAATAGTAAATCATTGGAACTAAAAATGAAACTTCGGAGGGGAAGGCCACAGCTGAAATGAGACAGTGCCTCTATCCCGTGTAAGTAGTCGGGGTCGACCATGCTGTTGAAATTTTTTCATCACGTGCAATGTTACTTACAGAAATGCCTAAGAAACTGGTAGCCCTTCACATTTGGTAGCAGCTCTCCCGTTTCCAAAAGGTTGATGACCTCTGCATTCGATCATGTAGCCCCCTAAGAACTCCAGAAAATTAGCATACACCGAGAGTTTTCACAGCGAACTTCCCGTTTTTCCTGCTGACCTTTCCGTGTTTCATAAGAAGCAACTGCAGCAATGCCCCCCCCCCCCAATTGTGAGCCAGTCGCTCACGTTGAGTCATGCCGCTAATCTGCTCCACATCTCCCTTTCATTGCCTTATCTCTCTTTTTCGCTCTGTCCAAACATCAAAGCAAGGGGAGGGGAGGATGAGAGCAAAGCGGGGGATACCCAGGATGGAGCTGCAGAAGCGGAGGGGCGGGGAATGGGGGGGGGCGGGAAAGGGAGGTAAGGGGCGAGCGCGGTAGGGGAGGAATGGGGAGCGAGTGAGTGTCACTCCGGGAGGTGGACAGGATAAACGCTCCTCCATCCCGTTGAGGAAGACGAGAAGAGAGAGCGAGAGAGGCACCTTGGTTACCACGGTGCTGCTTCTCAATCTTCGGTCTTCCTTTTTTTTTTTTCCTTTTTTTTTTTTTTTTCTTTTCTCACACTGCTCTCTCTCCTCCCCAACAGCAGCATCTCGCCTCGTCGCCTCCTCCGGACTTCTCCTTTTTCACATTCACCATCATCAAGGGGAGCTCGACAAGACTGTAAGAACCTCTTCAATTTTATCCTGATTAGTGTTATTACTACATGTGCGTGTTGTGAGCTCCCAGGATGCCCTGGAGCAAGGTTGCCCAGATGCTGCATCGCTGCCAAATGCTAACGTAGTTGTGTGTGTATGTGTGAGTGTGTAAGTGGAGCAGCTGCTGCTTCATGTCACGTCTTCGAAGTCCCACCCACGTACAGTATGGATGTATGTAAGGGGGTGGGTGGGTGTGTGTGTGTGAAAAAAGGCCAACTGCTGCATAAAATCACATTAAGCAGTGTGGAAACAGTGTGGTTGTTTGCCACTTTTGTTGCATGAGTCGCTGTGTGTTGAATTTGAACACAGTTTTGGGTGGGAGGGGGAGCATTAAAAACTACAGTGGAAAGCCACATCCATAGAAGATTAAGAAAGGGTGCGTAAATCTCCCAAATCTTTGGAAAACGTTGTTGGACTTCGGACGAGTGAGAATGTGTTAGCCCTTTTGTCGATGAGGATACGTTCTTGTGCTTTTTGTGGGGCTTTCGGTTTTCAACAGCAGAGTGGGACCACCAAAATATGAAAAAAAAATGAGTGAAACAATCAAGGGCGATCAATCACTTGTACACAAAATCTCAAGAGATGTCAGCAAATTTTGTGAGACTCCGACTCAGGATGAATGCAAAATACTTTTTCTTTGGCTATTAGTTGAGGCCAATTGGTGCATGAAAAACCCCTCCTGAAAACTGCATCGAACCTGTGTAATTTTGCGCCGTGTATTTTTTAATTAAATTTTTTCCCCCATGGTGTGCAGTTTTTGTGTTTGTAGCACTAAAAATGTGCGCCAAAAAAACGACAGTAAAGGCACACTAGTTATGTGCAAAAAACTTTGGCAAATCCCGCACATGTTCGCTGCTTGGTACCAGTGGATTTACATATCTTCCTTTATTTTTTCTCTTGGAGCCAACCACCATGTTTCTTGGAAAATGAGGACAATTGGCAGTACATCTCCAGTTAGTCAAGAATTTCTTGGGTTTAAAAAAAAAAAAAAATTAAGTTTGATTGCTGATCAGTTATTTGCAATTTTTTGCTATTTGCTTGCTGTCCGAGTGTTTTTCCTTTTGCTTTTAATGTTTGGGTATTACTGACAAAATGGGTCAACTTTTTTTTTTTTTTTTTTTTTTAATCGGAGATTCCATTTTTTTCTGAAACGTCACAGCCACAAATATCTGCACGAAAATTTAAAATAAAAAGCAAAAAAGAAAATATCTCAAACGTGTTGTGCTATGGAAAAAAAGTAAAGGCGTTTTCTTCATCTGCATCAATGCCTTTAGTGATACAAGAAGCTACCTGATTAAAAAAATGCTGTTTGCCAGTGTAATAAAGAAAAAAAGTAACAATAACAAAACAAAGTACAATTTTCGGGAGTAAAAATTCTGGGGGGGAAAGAAAAAGTATTTTTAAATGTTTTGGCCTGGTTTCTCCGAGTGACATGCAAGTGACCTTTTGACGACTGAGTGTTGATTTTTTTTTTTTTTTTAAGTTGAATATTTTGATGCTCATAAAATTTCATTTTGTAATTCAGATTCCGGTGGCACAGTTGTACTTACTTGCATACAAGACTGGCAGAAGAGAAAATGGATGGATAGAACAGCAACATTTTGAACCTTTTTCTAGGTCTAAAAACCTCCTCCGCCCTGGCTGTATTGTCCCAAATGACGTTCAAGAGCTTTTGTCACAACTGTCGCTCGCTATTGTTCCGCCACTGACTGAGATGAGTCAGTCCCTCGGTTTTGAGCGCCAGTCAAAGTTCAGATTCGCTGGTGATGTCATCGGCGGGCGAGAGCGGGATGACTGCACGATCGGTTGCGTGAGACTTGACCGTATGTCTTGCAGATTGAGCGAGTGACGACGCATTCGTTAGCATTCATTAGCAACTCTTTGGGAAGACGAGAGCAAACCAGTGACAGATGAAAAGAAAACATTTTGTCCGAAATTTGATATTTTTAACTTTTCACCAGCCGTTGTAGCTGTGATGTGAATTCTCTTTCACACTGAGTCAGTATTTCACAAAGTTGCCTTTTTAGTGGATTCCTGTCTGTGTGAAAGGTCCTGCAGGCTCGGAGACCTAAAAGCGGCGGAGCAACAGCTGTATGTAAGGAGATTGTGCAAAAAAACAGACATGTGTCTGACGTTGAATTTGTCACTCCCAGTGCCCTGTCTTCGGCGACCCCCTTTGACATCATCAATGAAGAAATGTAATCAACAAATTTGCCATCTTATCGCCACCTAAAAGTGGAACAGTGGCTGTGTGTAAGGGGAATCTGTGACGTGAGTTTCGGGCGTTTAATTGTTCCACCCCTGCGGCTTGGTGGGACGGATGTGAAGTTTAACAGTTGAGACAAGCAGTAATTACCACCCTGTTGTGTTCTTCTACCCCCTTTCACACATGGCCCCTCCCAGCTCGGGAGCTGGAGAAATTTGGCAATTATTTTCAAGATCAAATTCACCATCAATTTCAGCATCACATCAATTGGCTTTTTTTTTCAGAATTTTCCTGGCCTGTTGTCCCGTGTGAAATTTACTGCTACGAAATAAGGCTTGTATCAGAGGTGCAATAAAGTAACTGGGTGAGCGTAAGCGGCTATCCCCTTTAACACAGCTGCCATCTGCCCTCTGTCTGATACTAGCCGGGAAATTTGACAGCATCCTGGCTGGAGATAAAAGATGATTAATTAGCATTAATTGGATTATTTGGTGAGGAACGCGATAGCATCAGAGCGTGGGAAGAAGAAGAAGAGCAGGGACGGTTTTATCGACAGCTCGTCAAGGAGCTTTCACGCGCTCCTCTCAGCTTCGCCCGCTTTTATTTGTCCAAGCGCGTCTTGGCTTTCTTTCCAATATTTGCTCTGCTGCTTTTGGGGGTTGTGCTTCATAGCTCCAGATTTAGCCAGTGCCTTCACTCACCCTCTCTCCCACTTTCTCGCCGTCGGTTAACGACCAATCTGGGACAGGAAGCCTCCCCAGCGCTCTGTCCTACTTCGCTGCCGCCGCTCAGGCTAATTCATTCTACTCATTTAACGCTGTCCACGTGGCCTCGACGTTTGTCGTCAGTCAGATGCCGAGTGGGGGTTTTTGGGGATGGTTTCAGTCTGGCGGACGAATGGTGCCTGTCAAGATTCACACAGGAGCCACTTACATACAGTCTGTCAAAGCTGACTTTTTCCTTTGTCATTGGTCTGTGTGAAAGGCTACCAATACGGAATGCTGGAAGTATTGAACCTGCGAATCAACTGGTTTTCGAGGTTGTATCAGAGGCCAAATGACGGCCGTGTGTCAAGGAGATTCTGCAATGCTGGGATGAGGGTGTGCAGGGAATTTAGGGTGTTAAATTTACACCCCTTCCCCCACTCACTTCCATTTCAATACCACATCAGTTTCACATCAAAGTTTCCTGGGCCGCTGTTCTGTGCGAAAATATTCCGCAACAAAATGGTGACTGTACTGCACTTTTACTTGGTTCGGAGGTAATATCAGAGGCAGAATGGGGGCTGCGTGAAAGGGCATAGTCTTGCAGCAAAGTCAATTCAAATTCTTTGCACAGTGCTTTTTTGCTATCCCCTTTCAGACGATTGTCTTTCTACCTCTTATACTACCGGATAGCTCAGGTTATTTACGTGCCAACTTTAACCCCACGTTCCATGTCGGTACCATTGACACAGATCATTGGACAGCGATAAGTAAGTCACGGGTGTTAATTTTCGCTCTGTTATGCCTCGGAAGCCTGCAAATTTGATAAGAACATCTTTCAATGCAAGAGGACAGGAGAGGTTTTGCTTGTCCATACCCTAGTTCCAGGCAGTGATCACCCCCAGTGGTTGAATTTTATACCTTGGTCCGAGTTATCCCCTTTCACCCTTCTATTATGCCTCTGATACTACCTTGAAAGTCGGAAAATTTGACAACTGCTTTCAACACCGCAGAGTTTGAGAAGTGAGTGATGGGTGTGACACTTTATATATGAAGCTCCTCCATCCCCTTTCACACAACCACCACCGTCCCGCCTCTGATATCACCTCATAAGCTGGGAAATTCACACTTGCCACGATGAAGTCACACTCATTTTATTGGGGCTAATTTCTCTATAAGGCTGCGAGGAGGGGGTTGCTGTGGGTTAGAGGGGCCGTGGGGCTTTTTTTTTTTTTACCATCACCGCAGCATCATCAAATTGGCGTTTCTATATTTAGCTGCAATGGACGGGCCGGGATGGGAACGTGTGCGCGTGCATGTCTGTGTGTGTGTGTGTCATGGGTTTGTTTGCAGTTTTTCACGCTGCATTCAAGTCCAGTGGAAAACACGCGAGCTCGTTCCTCCGTCGTAACGCTGAGAATGGAGGAATTAGCTGCCATGACGGGAGGAGTTTCTCGCACTCACTGCAGTGCTTCATCTTTGCTGCTGTGTGTGTGTGTGTGTGTGTGTGTGTGTGTGTGTGTGTGTGTGTGTGTGTGTGTGTGTGTGTGTGTGTGTGTGCGTACATTGCCGTATGTGTGTCAACCGCTGCAGAAAGCTGGCAAGGATCAAAGAAAATCTCCCTATGGATTATTTCATTTTTTTTTCCCCCCATGGCTTTGAATACATCAACAAACCAGCTGGAAAGCCCATGTTGTGTTGTAGGTCTGCGTAAAAGGTATTGGTGTAAAATGGGGGTGTCGACCTGCAAATTTGACAGGGAAGGGAAGAGGATTTTAAAATGCAAAAGCAGACATCTCAATTATTATTTTGTTTTTGTGTCTGCAATGCAAGAGTGTAGATGATCGAAAATCACCCCCTCCGTCCCTGTTTTCTATGATACCCTTTCACGCATTCACCCCCTCTCCCTGCTTTTTTTACGCTTGGAGTCCTTTTTCACATCTATTTCAAAATCACAATCGATTTCACTCACATGAAAGTCGTATCTTCATGTTTTTCCTGGCTTGGCACTCTGTGCGAAAGGCACCGCTAGGGGTGAATTTGATGGCTTCCATG